CAGAGATCTCCTTCCCCTGGAACTGGAGTTCCACACCCTGGTGTGGGTGCTGGAACTGGACTGGGGTCCCCTGTAATAGTGTGTGTTCCTAACAGAGCCACTTCTGCACCCCAGGACGACTTTTTTTTTCAGAACACTAATTTTGAAAACATTCATTATACTCCACACACTCAAGTTACCTCTCATAGCACAAAAGCAGAACGGCTCCATCTTGGCTACACCGCCTCAAAGGCATCTCCTCAGGGCCCCAATCATTATTTAGGGTTAGATTGCTGAGTCCTCCACCCCATGTAGGAACCAGTGCTCAGAGGAGCACCAGGAAAGGCCCAAGCCCTTTCTACCTGCATCCATCCTAAAACCTTTCTCCTACTAAGGGCTAAATTCTCTGCCCAAATGTTGGTTGTTAAGCTCACGGCTTCTTCCAGGTGGTCACTGTTGGCCTTACAAGCACCCTTCAAAGAGGGCACTCTTAGTCACTCTAATGGACATTTCTTATCAGATCACTTTCCTCAAAGACTCCAGCGGGGCAAGGCCAGGCATCTTGAGTGGTGACACCCGAATGGAAGACCGTGGTGACCAGGACCAGTCCTCCACTGCCCGTTTGCCCAAGACAGTGTGCGTCAAAATAAGGCAACTATTGTGTTTTGTGCAGCAGAACACACATCCAACCTGCGCCTGTGATTTTGGTCTCTTCCCCAAGCCCAGCCTCAGACTCTGGGAGACCCTTGGCCTTCCACCTCTGTCCCCAGCTCAAAGCCTTGGAAGCCTCTTGTTTATGTCAACAGAGCGGTTACCAGAGAAGACAGGCTCCTGCCCGCCAGGGGGTGTCTGGTGCCCAGCCAGGCCAGTTGTTTGTGTTTCTTGTCTCAGTAGTGACCAGAGGGGCAGCATGCCTGGACCGAGTCTCTGGGCAACACGCTGTTAGGGTCCCAGCTGTCCCCACACATAAAACACACGCTCTGTCAACACACTCCTGCCGTATCTTCTTTCACAGAGTAAGAATTTAAAGTTTCCCCTGATGGGCTTTCTATTTTCCGCCTGCCCCTCTGCTGGCAGCTCCCCTTCCTAGTGGCAGCAGCTCGATATGCCTCCAAGACCCAGTGAACAGAGGTCTGCGCCTGGCCCTGGCCACTCCTCAGCCACCAGAAGAACCCTGGGTGTTTTCTGAATGTGAGCCATGGAGGGAAGTCTGCACCTTTTCCTCTGTGTAACCAGCTCCTTCAAGCCACGCCACTAGCAGAAGAGCCCATGGAGACAGGCCAGTAGTGTCCCCCTTTGGGTTTCTATCCAAACTGTGGGGTGTCTCCATACCCATAACCCCTACACACCCTGCTGCTCAGTACCAAATATGTCTCAGAGCATGCTTTCTCAGCAAGAACCCCTGAACTCTCCAGCTCCCCCATTCCGTTCCCGCCACCCCATTCCTCAGCTGGCCTGAGGGCCTGGCAGTGGGAGTAACTGACTGAAAAAGGCTAAGAGCATGGCTCTGAAGCCAAGAGTTCTGCCTTCCCTAGAGGTACCATCTCAACCTCCAGGACTCATTTTCCTTGTCAGTAAAACAGGCACCCGAAACAAGAGCAGCAGGAAATATCCCGGCGAGGAATAAATTAGTTCATCTGCAGGTGTTCTGGGAGTGCCAGGCTAGCAGCCAGGGAGTATGAACGCCATCATTCCGTGTTTACTGAACCAGGCATCATGACATAGTGGGAAAAGCCTTGGCTGGCACCAAATCTCTGCGCCCCACTAAACTCCTTGTGTGACCTTGAATCAAATGCCCTGCTATGCCAAAAGAGGACTGATAGACCTGTCCCTCCACAGGCTTCAAAGAGGACAGGGTGTGCTAGCCCCGAAGAAGAGTATAGGGTCCACTGCATGGAGAGAAGCCAGCTTCCTGGCACCTGCCCCCCTCCCCCCAGATTAGCTGATGCACTCTGGGCCTGCCTGAGAAACTGGCCTGATTTGGAAAGGAGAGCCAGGACCAGGGAGGAATTCAGGTCCCTAGGAGGTGCTATAAATAGGCAGCGCTGGCTAGAGGGCCTCTGGGGGTGGAGGCTGGAAAAGAACAGCAGATAAGCAAACTGCCGGTCCTCAGTCTGGGGGAAGCCCCAGGACACTCCCCTGAAGAAGTCTCAGGGAAAATTATCTATAGGAACCATAGAAGCAAGGGGCAGCCTAGGCCACCTCTACACTTCTCCCCAGAGTCTCTCAGAGCCATGGGGAGGGTCAGGAAACTCTTGCCAGAGCTCATCACCAGCATCCCGTGGGCTTTGCCCACCCATCCTACGCCATCACCTCTATTCCTTAGAGCAACAGCTCAGTATCTTGAGAGGAAAACCGAGGCCCAGAGATGTGAAGTAGTTGTCTGAGAGCCCTCTGTGGCTCAGGCTAAAATGAAACCGTGGATGGGATTCATTCCCTTCCTAGTCCAAGGTTACACATGGAGAACCAAGATGTAAGAACAAGTCCTTCTGGACAAAGTCCTTCCCTGAGGACCAGTGAACAGCTAGGATTGTCCTCTAGGGATGGGGGTTCTTCCTCTTCCACATCACCTTAGCTGAAAAGAGGGTGAGGGACTCTTATTTACAATTCTTTATTTTTCCCCATGTCTTGTGTATGTTTATAGTATGTATTTACATGTTTATGAGCTTTTTTTAAATATGTGTAGACGTGTATACTCATGCGCATGCTGTGGAAGCCAGAGCTGGGATCAGGGGTCAGGCTCCATTGCTCTTCCATGGAGGCAGGCCTCTCAATCAAACAGAACTGAAGATGTGGCTGATCTTGGAATGGTTCTGGGGATCCCATCTCTGCCTTCTGAGGATGGAACTACAGGCAAGCCAAGACACACATCTGGCATCGCTGTGTGTTGCCCTACATGAGGATAACTGAATCCACAAAAAGCCTGAGAAAGCTTGGGAAAGAATGGAGTGAAGCATGTTTTCTTGGTAGCAGCTATCTCTCGGGTCTACTCTGCTTGCTAGAGGCAAGCAAGTGCTCTCATCTAAGAGAGGCTTCCTGACTCAGCTTCAGCTGTAAACCTTGCAGCTCTTTTAAGAGGTCCTGCCACGAAACACTTAAATGGTGTTGACGAAAAGCTGAACGCATGCTTTTCGGTTTTCAGCCGTAGCAGGAAAAAAGCTGTGCTGTTGAAAAATGCTGGCTTTCTGGGCCGTCCTGCCAGGGCAAACTCTGACTGAGGCAGGAGGGCCAACTACCGAGAGAGAACTTGACTGTTGTCTGTTGTAGCTCGCTGGCTGGCAGGGACCTTGAAACGCCATAGAATTGTGGCTATAAAC